GAATGTGTGAATGAAGAAGATGCTTAGAACACGGCAGAGTATCTCATACCTTAACCTGGTCTTCGAGCTCTGATCTTCACTCTGTTGTTCTTACAAAAACTCCATCAAAAACCTCATCTACCTGTAATGCCAATTGTTTAATCAGGCAAAAAAAGATGCACCCTTCACCTTTAAAACCTAAAGCATAAATCCAAAGATCTCATCCCAGCCCAAATTCAGATTTCCACAAAATGCTCCCCTTTTGATTGTGCGCCCTTTTCAGTTGCGTCTTGTAGTAAATTAATTGGAAGCTACGTACAGAAAAATAAACAACCCGCGGCACTGATGAAAATGTTGCCAAAAAATACTGACAGACGCTTTACCACAACTCATAAACATTTGCACAAATGTTTTTGGTAGAAAATATAGAAAATGTTGCATATGGATATAGATTTTATTTAAACTTTTTTTCAAACATCCGATGTGTGTAAATGTAATTTAGCAGGCGGGTTGGGCTTAATTGTTCGAGGCGGGAAGGTTGGGTTAAGGCTGAGGGAGGGGTGAGGGGTTGTTCAGAAATGCCATTCAAATATAAAGTTGTTGTTGCCACAATGTATCTGCAGCTATGAGTTGCAAATGTATCTGCAGCACGGTCTAAATTTAACGCCAACAACAAAAAGTTGCTCGCAAAACAAATGTTTTTGACGCATTTTTCGTAACGTGCAAGGGGTAGGGGTTGGGGGCGTCCAGAGGGCAGGCGTGGCTGGCGCCAGGCATTTACAGTTTTTATGACGCCGCGTCGCAGTCGACGCGACGGCGTCAGCATCAGCGTCTGACGCGTCCGTCACCGCAAAGGTGTCAGAAAATTGCATGCAGCAATTTTCAGCCGTTTGACAGATGGACACGAGACGGAATCAAAGGGAACGGAACGGAACGGAATGGGGAGGAGCGGAGTGAAACAGCGTGTGATAAAATCGTGTGTCAATTCGATTTTTGACGTTAACCGCCGCCTAAACAACAGCAACAGCAACAGCAACAATAACAACGGCAACATGCAGCAAGTGCAACTTTTGTTTTTTATTAACCAGAAATGGGTAGCATGGAATTGGAATTGAAATTGGGTGCCGGCTGGGCTGTTGCCACGGCTTGTTGCAATAGCAGCGGACGCGCAACATGACATCTGTGGCATCGAATTGGCAGCTGCTGCAACGCAATTGCTGCAACCTGCCTCCAAGACGCGATGCTGCCGGCAGTTTGTTGACGCTGCGTTGTGGGCGAGCTAAATAAATGCTAACCGGTTCGGTCATCAGCTGAGTGACAGCAGAGCGACAACCCTGTCTAAGGCGAAGGACCGAGGGTGAAACAGAACAAGGTGTTGAATGCTCAACACTGTGCAAAAATAAAGTGCAATTCATCAGAAGCTTATATCTTAAATATATACATATATTTATTATTTATTTTTTAAAACATAAAAGCGCAGTTCTACTCCTTAAACAGAGTTGTTCACATTAATTTGCTGTCATTCCTAACCTTAAATCATTTTGTGTTTCACTTCCATTTTGTTCCCACAGAAACTTTTTAAAATTAATTGAATCACCCTAATCCATGCACTTACAAATTTTAAATAAAAGTTGTGGTTTAGTCTTAAGACGAATTTTAAAACTAATTTAATTTAAAATTATGCTTTGCCGTGGCCTCTTTATATATGTATATACCATACATGTCATATTATAGCCAAGAGATATACATACATATATAGAAGAGAGAGACGTAGTTTGTAAGCTGTAACCTAACTTTTACTTCAAATGCATAAAGATTGAAAACCGATTTTGAAGTTCAAGCCCAAAAGCTACTTATATTTACATATTTATTGGCCAATCTCGTCCTCATATAATTTACGTCTGAGTTCTTGAATAGAAACATGAAGCCTCATTTTGAGGTATACAGATAACTATCACGTTTATTTTTAATTTACTTTGGTCTTATTATTATTAAGAAATAACAATTTCTCATTAAAAAATTAACCAACACTCAAACTTGAATGCTCAACGAGCTTGTTACATAACCTCAAACTTGGATTATTATTCTATTATGACATCGAAATAATCTGATTTTATTATTTTTTGGGGATCTAAGTAATCAGCGTCAGGCCATATTCGGAGCCTACAAATATGTATAAATTTGTATATTATTGTTCACAGAGCTGCACTCCCCAGATTTTCTCTTTCTTCACTTATCAAAATAAAAATAAAAAAAAATTGCATTGTGCAATTGAAATCATGTTACAATGTGCCACGAGATGAAAGAGAGGTGGGGTAGGCATGGTAACATTCCGTTATGTCACATTTCTAGCCCACAAATAAAAAATAGCGAATCCAACTTTTGACGTGTGACAGCAGTTGGCGTTGCATTTTGGCCGCAATTGTCAGGTGCCGCGATATTCGAGGACCTGTCAATCCGATTTCAGATATTTGAACATATACTGGTAGAGTCAAGGGGAGCACGCAGCCCACAGCTCTTCTCTATGAATGGAGGAGCTTTAATATAAGCTTAAAACAGAGTTGAGTTTTAATGCTAGTGAATCATGTATTCGAAAATGGGATTAAATATAACAAATCTAAACTGATTTATATAGAGCTTTACAGAGTCAATCATTTTAAATTAAATTTTATTTATTCCATAATTATGTTCAAATTTAAGTCAAATATTACGACATTTTTTCTAATAACTAACATAACCTCACTAAATGTAGCAGCAAATGCAACTATGCGTATGCTTGATATACAGGAAGCCGAGCTGAAATCCGAGGTGAAACTGGAAATATGAGTAGTAAGCGACAGATAACTGGAAATAGTAAAGAAAATCAAAAACAAAGAACTTTTCTTAGAAACGCCGAACAAGAAACAGAAAGTAATAAAGATGCGTAATGGTTGCCTGCGCACAAGTATCGGAAAATAATTACAGACAGGCGAAAAGGATGTAGAGTTGACGGAACATAACCTGAAATAATCGGAATAGAAACAATTGAATTAACCTCAACATTTAATAAAACTTGTTTTGTGCATTAGGCAAATGTTGCAAATCATGTTCCATTTCCGAAACACTCATAATTGCCGGCCGAGCAAAGGCAAAGCAGATTGTCACGTGCGCAAGAGACTGCCCGCCTACCCATTCCACTGTTCCTTACGCAGCACGTCATAACCTCAGCTCAGCCTCAGCTCAGCTTTTGCGGTCGCCAAAAGCAGCGCAGCGCATTCAACAATTGGGCTGCTGTTGCTGCCGTTTCGCTGCCGCCGCTAAGAGGTGTGGGTAGTGGGGAGTGGGAGGTTTGTCTGGGCAGCGAAAAACGACTTGATTTAGCATTTTATTTTGCATGTGTAACAGAAGCAAAAAAAAAAAAAAAAGAAAGAGTTAAAAGTTATCCACACGCAGCTTTTCAAAATTTTGTTTTGATGCAGGGCGCACAAAACAGAATGCAGCAGCACAGCAGCAGCAGCAGCAGCAGCAGCGAAGTGCTCATTTCCTCCGTCTGCCCGCTGCGACGCTTCATTTTCAATTTCAATAAATAACCTTGATTTAAGCGGCTGCGGCGTCGGCAGCGATGCCAACGCACAGGCGGCTCCCACCCCCACAGTCGTTTGACCAGCTGCAATGCAAATACAAAGAGCGCATGAGAGAGATAGAGAGAGAGAGACGGCGGGCCAGACCGGCCCCCACACACAAACACCTGTCACACTGCACATTGTCGCCACTGCACAGCGCTGTTCGCTCTCTCTCCCTCTCTCTGTGTCTGTGTGGAGCTCTCTTGCACACGTGCTCTCACGGCCATTGCAGTTGCTGTTGTTCCGCTGCCCATTTGTTTCCATTTCGATTCATGCGTTTCGCTCAAGCTTTCTCCTCATTCCAAGCCAAAGTAGTAAAGCAACGGCTATAAATCAAAACAAAACTGCAGCCGCTGCCAGCTGGCGACGAAGCCGCATGCGCAGACCTCACTCAGTCAGCAGCAGTAGCAGCAGCAGAAGCAGCAGCGTTACTCTCTGAGCACGTAACGCTCTCTTTCTGTCTGCTGCCGGCATATATCAATTTAATGGGGAAAACGTCGTCGGCTCTCTCTCGCTTGTGCACGCCACAATTCATTTTGATAGCCCTCGCGCGCGTTTCTTTCGCTCTCGCTGCGACGTCGCCACTGCCGCTGCTGCTGCGGCGCTGCTATTGCCGTTGCTGTCAGCTCTCAACGTTGTCAGTGTCAAAAAGATGTTTTAGTCGACAACGGCAGCGCTGAACGAAATCATGTCGCATATTTTCATTGTTGAATTTTTCGCTAGAAATTCAACAGCGACAACCGCAGCAACAGCAGCAGCAGCGCAGTAACGTTAATGTCAAATGCAGCGACGTCGCTGCCGACAGCGGGTTACCAATACAATTACAGTGCGTGGCGCGTGTCAATCAGTCGACGCTAATAAATCGAATGGTCCGGTTAACGGTTAACGGTAAACGTTACAACTGACGTTTCAAACCGATTCAGCAAACACATTTTAACCGTTTCGCAAGTCGCGCGCGTTTTTCTAGTCGCCCAAACAAAAATACACAAAGCAACAGCGGAAGAAGCAGAAAAAGCAGCGCCAGCAGCAGCAAAATAATAATAATAAATTTTGTGGCAAGCGTCAGTAAATCATTAAATTAATAGCCCCACACACACACGCACACACACACACACACACGCAGCGGCACAGCTGTTGTGCGTGAGTGTTGTTGGTATTTGCCAGGAGGAGGAAGAGAAAGCGCTGCCTTCTGCTAGTGCCTTGGAAATTGGCGGCAGTTGACCGCAGCTACGACGACGACGACGACGACGCATGCAACACACACACACACACACACGTACACATACACATGCACATAGGCACATTGAGCTAGCGAGAGTTCGTCATCAGGCAGAAGCAGGCGGGGAGGCGCCGTGTTTCGTCCCCTTTGCCCATTGTGACATTTGATTTATTTGACGTGTGTGTTTTTGATAGAAGCTCAACACGAAACTGACACGTTCACACACACACGCACACACACAGGGACACGCGGGCACACACATACAAAGCGAAGCAGACGCCCCTCTCAAGAATTCAAACGTGGAACGCAAATAAAAAGAAATACATTTAATTTGTGCTTGTATTTGTATTCGAACTCGTGTATTTGGCTTAGTTAAGTGCGTTCGCGTTCGCCTCAAAGTGTGACCAACAAACAACAAACAACAAATAATAATAACAACAACAACAACAACAAATCGCCAATCGATGTGCGAACTTAATAACAGTATTTAAAGGCAGAGACAACAAAACTAAATTATTCACAAAATGATGCTACACGAGGCTGTCATGTTGGAGATCTATCGCCAGGCGTTGAGTGCAAGGTGAATTAACCGTTAGCCGTTAAACGTTAACCGTAATTAGACATGTTTTGACAGCAATTCGTTTGATTCAGTGTTGGAAAGTTCTAGAGCGTGTTGTTATTGAGAGTGTTTAGAAAAGTTGGAGCAAGAGAATTAAAGCGCCTTTTAGAGTTTTTTTTTAAGAGCGAGAGTTAGAATGTGTTTGATTTTACTAATTTTGTAATAATAATAGTAAAAATTGATTTGTTGTAGCTTTTAAATGCAAATAAATTCAATTCAATTACTTTTGGTAATTCTTTGCACTGCTCTTGTGAATTTAAACACTATTTGCATTTAATAAAATTTAAAAATGCTTAAATTACGTGCCATTTACCTACCGTTTCATGTTGACAAAATTTGCATTCCTTGACTTGACTTAAATGTCTGTTGCTTGATTTGAATATTTCTAAATTTATTTATATTTCAATTGTACATTTTGGCGATTAATTATGTGCTTCCAATGGCACTTTCTTTTAAACAAATATATTCATATTATATTTGGCACACTTTTGTTATCAATTCTTAAAGAATTTCCCTTATCTGAGCACTTGCTAAGTTCACCAGAGCTATTTAATTGTGCGCTTTTAGAAGACTTTGTTCATATTAGCAAAATTTATATTTAATACATATACACAAGTAAATGAATAAAATAATTATTTGCATTTCAAGTAGTTTTGTTAAACATTAGTTATGTATGATTTTATTAAATATAAAAATAGTTTAAATGATATTTTAGAGAGCGGGAGGGAAAACCCTTTACTGTAGACCCAAAGATTTTTACATTAGATTTGTAATATAATATATGCATAGCTCTTCTTATCTGCAATATTAAGTATCAATGAACAAATTCTGGAGGTTTTTAAATAATAGTTTTATTTTCTAATATCAATAAAAGGTTGAAGTACAGATGTACCTCTAAAAAAAATAGTGATAGGCTCTATAGTACAGAACGTAGAAGCTTTTTCTGCTAATTTTATTTTTTTTTAGCATAAATAAGGATATGTCACTTTAAAAAACTATATTGAAAGTTCAATTTAGCATTTGATAGAGCAAGGCAAATGCTTTGTCCCGTCTTAAGCTTTAACCAGTTGAGAATTACAAGCGTTAAGCAGCGAAAAAGAAAGTATACATAGTTAAGAACACCAGAGTCTTAGTCAAGCAACTTAATTGATTTTTCAAGATATTCGAAAGTATTAGAAAATAGAAATTAAGATGCAAGGAGTATTTAATTGCACTCACAAACAACATTCGAATAGAGCTTCCCGCCGAGTTTCATATCCGAGGCATATTTTTTGTATAAGCAACTCCTTTAAAATATGCTCTCTGAATTGCATATTCCAGCGAGCTGGCGAGTCCGCGTTGTCAATCGCGGGAATCGAATGCATCGGCGGCCGCTGGAGACGCCCGCTGCCCGTCCAATGAGTCGCACTGCTCGGCCAACGATTGCCTGACCCCGGCGCCCACGCCCACAGCCAGTTCGCCAGTGGGCCTGCCGCTGACCGCAACCCTGGCGCCCTCGGCAGCTGCGGCTCTGCTGCCGCCGCAGTCGGCAGCGATGGCCGCTTACCTGGCGGCCGCGCAACAGAATCACCTGCTGCTGACCAATCCGCTGGCGGCGGCCGCTTCGCTGGTGCAGCAGGCAACGCAGCAGGCCGCCTCGCCGGGGGGCCATGCCCTGGAGGAAGAGGCGCCCGCCTTGGACTTCAGCCGGAAGCGCACGCCCAGCGATTGCGAGGCGACGGCCAGCGACGAGGATCAGGAACAGGATCAGCCAGATCAGGAGTCGGCGCCTCTGGACTTATCCGTGAGCACGCGCAAGCGCCAAACGCCGAGCATCGAGCAGGACACGCCGGCGCGCAAGCTGCCACGTGGCACTGACTACAAATCCCCGCTACCGCCAGGCAGCTGGGTGCCACCCATCAATCCCTATTTAGCTGCCGTGGCAGCCAAGTCCGGGCTGAGCGGCAAAATGGCGCCCAGCGAGGCGAGCAAGGCGCTGGAGAAGATGAGCGAGATGAGTCGCCTGGAGACGCCTCCGCCAAGCAGAGGAACCAGCGGCGGAGGCGGCGTAGGCGGCGGAGCTGGTGGAGCCGCCACATCTGTGACTGGAGGCGGTGGCGGTCGGCACAGCGCCTGGCAATCGCACTGGCTGAACAAGGGGGCGGACGCGGCCAAGGATGTGTTCAAGTGCGTGTGGTGTAAGCAGAGCTTCGCCACGCTGGCGTTGCTCACGACGCACATGAAGGAGACGCAGCACTGCGGCGTCCAGGTGCCCTCGCCCTCGGCGGGCCTTAGCCAGGCGGCGACGCGCACCACCAATGCGACGTCCACAACGACCTCGAACTGCTCCAGCAGCAGCTCGACCTCCTCCAGCTCGTCCAAGTCCGAGCTGAACATGCTCATCAAGGAGACAATGCCGCTGCCCAGGAAGCTGGTGCGCGGCCAGGATGTCTGGCTGGGCAAGGGCGCCGAGCAGACGCGCCAGATCCTCAAGTGCATGTGGTGTGGCCAGAGCTTCAGGTCGCTGGCGGAAATGACCAGCCACATGCAGGAGACGCAGCACTATACCAATATCATATCGCAGGAGCAGATCATCTCCTGGAAGTCCGGCGACGAGCGCCCAACCAATGGCAACCAGGGCCAGGGTCAGGGCGGCGGCAGCAGCAGCAGTGCCACGCCCACTGCGACCAGTGTCAGCGCCGTGTTGACGTGCAAGGTATGCGACCAGGCGTTCGGCACGCTCAAGGAGCTGAGCGCCCACATGGCGCAGCAGTCGCACTACAAGGACACGGCCTCCAGCTGCTCCTCCTCGGTGTCGCCGCCAGCACCGCCATCCGGCTCTGCCGCGGCGCTGAGCTCTAAACGCGGCCGTCAGCCGCGCAACGAGAAGCGCAAAAAGTCGCTGCCGGTGCGCAAACTCCTAGAGCTGGAGCGCTCCGGCAGCGGCGCCGGGCTGGACTCGGCGCTGAAGCCGCTGCGCGACTTTGCGGCCGCCACGAAGATCACGTGCGAGAAGTGTGGCAGCAAGATCGAGACAGCGCTGTTCGTGGAGCATATACGCAAATGCCTCGGCGACAGCATACCCATACCGCCACGCAGGCCGCCAGCGCAGGAGCAGCATCCGCACCAGCGCCTGGCCAGTCCCAGCATGTCGGAGAAGCCAAGCAGCAGCTCGGGAGCCCCCTCCGTGCTGAATGCGCTGGAGCAACTGATCGAGAAGAGCTTCGAGTCGCGAATGGGTCGGCTGGCGCCGGGATACCCGGAGACTGGGACGCCGCTGGGCGCCAGCATACTGAAGCGTCTGGGCATCGACGACAGCAGCGACTACACGAAGCCCTTGATGGATGCACAGGCCATGCAGATGCAGCTGCTGCGCTCCACGTATGCCACGCGGGATCGCAGCGCCAGCGAGTCAAGCTCCGCCAGTCGCGTGGAGTCCGCCTACACGCCGGACAGGCAGCAGGCCACGCCCCGACGCACGCCTGACACGCCGGCCCCTTCGGTCACTGTGGCCACGCCCTCGCTTCCACCACCGCCCAGCAGCTGCAGCACCATCATCAAGTCGGAGCCCCTGGAGCCGGAGGCCGCCGAGCTGGAGCCCAGCAACAGGCATCTGATCAATGTGAAGAAGGAGTTCAGCATGGAACATGCCACGGGTAATCCCCGCGAGAGTCCCAGTGCCGGCAGCGAACGCTCCAACAACTCGCCGCCTGTCCAGAGCACCACGCTTGCCGAGAGCGGCAGCCTCCTCGCCCTCAACTCCATGTTCGATCAGCTGAGCAGCGTCGAGACCAACAACAATAATACAGGTATGCAGGGACAAGTCCCTGTCAAGACAGGGAAGGTGGGCGGGATCGACAGAGTGTGGGGCTACAGATTTTAAGAGAAGCATTGCAGACAAAGGATTTCTTTAGATACGTGTCCCATCAGCTTATGCCATGCAACCAAAATTCCTTTATCTGATTAACAACCCTTTGGGTTATACGAGCTGCAGCCAAACTTATGGGACTTTGAGACGAATTTAAAGAGGAATTTAGAGGTCAGCAGTGGAACCAGTCTAAAGGATGCCTTAAGGCTTTAACAGGGAGATTATGACTTCGAGTCAAGCCAAATCCCAAACGGATGATGATATTGGAATATTTAAACTGCAGAAAACTCTCCTCCTTACTCCTTCTGTAGAGTCAGAAGAAAAATCGAATTTTACAAAAGGATTTAACTGATTTAAGAATAAGGACCTTCATCATGGTAACACTATTAATACATTGGATGCTCCTTTGGGCTTCAGAGAGGTCATTCTTTTAGGATTTCCCCAAAATCCTATTTACATAATATGTCAGCAGCATAGGGAAGCTGTTTATTGCGAAGTTGCATTACATAAACCTTTAATTCCGCGCTTATTCCGCAAAAATCAGTGAAAACAAAGCGAACTCAATTTGCCTTAGACTGGACTACAGCAGACCTCTGAGGTCATCACCTAGTGAATATGGTCCCTTTAAAATATAGTCATATATTATTAAATTTACCCCCTCCCTACCCCCTTCCATATTGTAGTCCACACTAATCACCTTTATACGTATCACTCACCCAATTTTTCAGGACATTGCTTCAACAACAACAACAACAATAACAACAACAATGCGAATGGCAGCACGAAGAAGCCGAAGGCTCACCCCTTGGCCGCCCTGCAGAAGCTCTGCGAGACAACAGATCCGCCAGCCTCGAATACGCGCAGTGCATCCGCATCCTCCACGGTGGCCGGGCTGGGCAACGGCAGCGACCTGGTCGCCTTCAGCTGGGCGTGCAACGAGGCGGTGCTGAGCGCCGGCGCCGGGGCGGACGCCATCATCAAGTGCTCGTTCTGTGATACGCCGTTCGGCTCCAAGGGCGCCTATCGTCATCATCTGTCCAAGGTGCACTTCGTGAAGGACGCCGGCGAGGATTCGCCGCCGCTGAAGTCGCCGGCAGCCGCGCAGTCGCCCAAGTCGCTGCCGCTGGCTTCGCCCAAACGCTCGGCCTCGCGCAGTCCGGCAACGCCAGCTGCCCCCCCGCAGCTGCAGCCGCAGACGTCGCCCTCGCCGTACGACGAGAGTCCGCAGTCGAAATTTCTCAAATACACGGAGCTGGCCAAGCAGCTGTCCTCCAAGAATGCCTAAACGTAAGCAGAGGGGGGGGGGGGGGGGGGGGGGGGCGGAAGGTTACACTATGCAACAAAAAAACTAGAAGTGTTAATGGTTCTTAATTGTGTTGCATAGTGTTATTGATGCCTCAGCTGAAACTCTTTCGCAGAGCACTGCATTGATTTCCGATCAAAGAGAACGAATCAAGTCTGCAGATAATTTAGCTCTCTCTCTCTCACACTCTCACGCTCTCGCATTTCATCGCTCTCTGCAGCCGCATTTCCCCTACTTTGCTGAATTGGCGGCACCATTTCCCCAAGTCTGTGTATTTGCCCCACGCTAACTGTCTGGGGTAGTAGTGTGTGACGTCACGGCGCTGACGTCTCAATTTGCCCAGTTTTATTGTTTGCCAAATCGCACAGCTTGCCGTCGCATTCGCACGCGCGAGAGGCGTGCAAAATTCAATTACCACCACTTTGACGAACTGCTGTCCATCAAAGAGCACACACACATACGCACACACACATGCAGACTCACTCGCATTAACAGTGCAGTGCAATTGCAGGCGTGCTAAAGAGCGAGACGGCTGTAGTGTGCGCAGTAGTTTGACGAAAGGCGACGACAACAGTTCGTCAAAATGAAAAACAAACACACAAAGCAAGCGAGCAGCAGCAAAAACAAAACACAAAAGCAAACCATGCTGACCCATGTGATTGGATGGAGCAACAGCAGCAAAACAACAATAAGAACGCTCAAGTGGGTGGGGGAATTATTGAGTGAAATCGAAACAGGTCTGAGCGCAGAGAGCAAATTCATTGAGTGCATTTTGTTGGCTCAACAAATATTGCAAATCGAAATCATTTTTCGCGGTTCCTGGTCAAAAATGTGTGCCAAAAACTAAAAAAAAAAAACAAAAAAAAACAAAAATTAAACAAAATTAATTAATTAAAATTAAGTAATTACAAAAATGCAACGCAGTATACGTAAAATCTTAAAATACCAAAACTTTCTCTCGAAAAAAAGAAAACTAATTTTTAAATTGTATTTTTGTTCCTCAGAAAATGATTGTATACCAAGCCAAGAGGCAACAATTAGGGCGACAATTTGAAAAACGCATTCAATAGTTTAATGTAAATAAACTTAGTAATTAGCACTTCCTTCCAAAAATCAATATATATATATATATAATATTATTAATTAATTACTAACAATTGAAGTCAAATCAAAATGTAATCACGGCAACCCATGTATACGCATAAATTATACAAATATACTTAACTATATGAACATATATATAAAAACTACTTGAAAGCAAATTATATACACATATATAGATACTAATATATATGTTTACAACTCAACTCTCAACAATAACAACAAACTATATATATATATAAATATGTATTTAACCTAAGATTAAACCTAAGACTTCCAAAAAGAAAAACAAGAGAAAAGAAACTAAAAAAAATGTCAAACATTTCATCGTCATCTCAAGAAGAAGAAGAACATCATCAGCAACCAGAAACTAATTTATAGATCTACTTATCATATACCTATGAATGATATATATGTACGTATACGACTTGTATTTGAGTTTTTGTGATATTATTTTTAAAACTCCTTTCGCTTCCTTTTCGCCTAGATCATAAGTAAGTTAAACGACATGCAATAAAAAATAATATTTCAAAATCCCAAAACAGCAAACGGTTAATTCAAATGTATTTCTCCAGAGATTTCCGAAATTGAGGCTCACATATAGCTGTATCTATATCTTCAAATTCACATCTAAAGTTACCAAAAGCAAACGGCTCAATACAGAAGATGAGTTCAATAAAAAGTTGTATGTTTCAAATTGAACATTTTTTGAGTTTGCATTTCACTCGAGTCTCACATCTGGGGGGAAAATTTGGGGTTAACGGGAATTGTTTATATGATATTCAAAATAATTTCAATATTTTTGAAAATTTTATCTTTCATTTTCAATGTAAAATCAATATATGTATGATTTTAAAATTCGGCTTACATCTGGAAAATTAAAGGGAATTGTTATACGATATTAAAAAAATATTTTTCGAATTTGGATTTCAGTTTGGGCTTTAGATCATATTTTTCATTAGTATTTTTTTTGATTATTGGCTCTATTAATATATTTATTTAATTTTGCAATATTTACTATATATATATATTTATTTATACATATATATTTATTTATTTTATTTTCAGATTTAAAATTATGAAAAATTAATATATGTGTATTTATTATTGGAACATTAAATGAAAGGTAAGATGACATATAACTTAACGTTTAGGTTATTTGCTTTAATAATTATTTTCAATGAGCTTTTATCAATGAACTTTTAATTAGGAAGGATCTTCCGCGGGGAACTGTGGAATGGAACATGTGAGTACATGTGGAATCGGCAATGTGTGCACATATGTTCCATTATAAATGTTTTGTACGCGAATAAAAGAACAGATTCGTCCATTGAGTAACAAATGTCTATCTTCTTATGACTCAACGAGATTCGACTTTGCAAACTTTATTTAAACCAAAAAAAAGTTTGTTTTATAATGAATATTAAAGTGTTGTGATCTGTGACGGGGGGCGTGGCAAACCAAAAAAAGCTAAATCTTCTACAGTTTTACAGCTGAAAAGGTCAAAATTGTAATGAATGAGCTGCAACTTCTTCTATGTATATGGCATATATATTATAAATTGACAGATAAATTCTTCCTTGTTTTGATTTGTACTTTTTGCAACCTTTTTTGATTTCTAAATACTTATTATTAACTATTGTAAGCCTTATCATTAGGCATATTGTCTTGATATTGTTTTTCATGGTTTTACCTTAGTCCCATTCAGTTCTAGTTCTATTGACCCCCATTAATGGCACTAGCTCTTCACTAGACTGCCCCAATGGTAGCCCCAATGATTCACTGCTGCTGACTAGGCTCAGCCCTGGCCAAATCCCAGTTAATTGTGGATTGCAGACATGGCATATCAAATTGTAAACTAATATTTGCTAATAAACACGGCGAGTTAATTAAACCTGAATTATGGGGCACATGTAGCTAGGACTGTGGCAGGGGTGGAGGGGTGGTGATGGGCTGGTACAAGGGGTGGGTCGCAAGGGGGGCAAGAACAGGAACATGCGCTAAATGTGAACGCGATTCGCTGATTTATGGCCAACAAAGGATTAAGACGCGACGCCCAGATACGAACTTCATAGATGCCACACACACACACGCACACACACGCACGCTACTGCTTGATGTACATACATAAGTGTATGTGTGTTTCTGTGTGTGTGTGTGTGTGTCTCGTATCTTTTGCGACACTGATGACGATCCAAAACGCCAACGAAATCTCCTCGAAAACTTCAATTGCCAAAGGATTCATTTTCACTTAAAATTTATGATGTGTTTCGTGTTGTTTTTGAACGGAGACGCCCCCCCCCCCCCCCACCCCCCTCCCACATTCCACTACACCCACACTTCCTCACACACACACACACATATACCTCGCCTGGGGGCGTGGCTGTTGCCATTTGGTGTCACATTTGTGTTAAAAGATAATTTTTGGCCAAAAATGTTTCACAAAACTTTTCCGCCCGCCTCAGTGTTCGGTGTGTTCGGCTCCATTGACGTCTCGTTTCGCGTGGTTTTCCCGCACCCCGCACCTTTGGTCCGACGTTCCCACGACCCACTTCCAGCTAACTCCTCCCCCTCCTCCTTCTCCCCATCCTCCGGCTGCTGCTGCCTCTGTCTCGCTTAATGAGATACAAACACATAAATTCTCAAAAGTGTCATGCATCGCAAATAACGGTTTACTTTTTTGCCCGTTTGATAAGCCAACAAAACTGCCGCCTTTATACACTCACACAGCGTGTGTGTGTGTGTATGCGGGTGGGTGTGAGTGTGCTTAGATATGGGTGTGTGACAAAAGTCGCTCGAGGCGTTGAAAGCAAAGTATCAAATTTGTACACAGGGCAACATGATTTTATCTAGAAGTGCGTAAGTGCATCATCTGTAACAGAACATGCGGTAGCATTACATCATCCGTAGTACATCATTTAGTAAAAGGACATCATCTCTAGTACATCACATAGTAAAAGAACTCAATGTGGTAGTTGTACATCATCTACTATACAAAATAAAGCATCATTACATCATTGTACATCTTTTGGTAAGACTACATCATCTCTTGTACATTACATAGGACAGTGCTCTATGTAGTACATCATTAGTAACACAAAACATTCTGGCATTGCATCATCCGTAGTACATCATGTAGTAGTACATGATCTGTGACACATCCTATAGAAAGAGAGCAATATGTAATAGTAGCATCTTTCTTACAACATGTAGTAGTATAACATCATTATAGTTGTAAATAATGTCGTATACCTTGTAATAGTGGAACATCATCTGAAGTACGTCATGAAAAGTAGTATTACATAATTTGTAGTAATTTATCTGTAGTAGATTCCCTAGTTATAATTGATTAAATATATTAGTGGCACATCATGTATTAGTATTATATCATCTGTAGTAGTACATCACGTAGCAATATATTACGTAGGAGCTGTACATAATTTTAAGTACATAATGTATCATTAGTATACAGCTGCAGAACAACATGAAGCAGCATTAAATCATCTCTTGTACAACACATAGTATTAATACATAATTTAGAAGTCGTATGACATGTTGTAGATTTACATCATCTAAATGACATTATGTGCATCACGTTATAGTAGTACATCATTTAAACGAAGTACATTATCTGTAGTACAACCTGTAGTCATATCATGTGGTAAGTCGTAATCTGCAGAACATTATGTACATCATGTTATAATAGTACATCACATCGTAGTGGAAGATCCTATTTTAGTTATATTTAATGGCAGATAATTATTTAATCTAAATACCTGCTGGTTTTTATAGCATTCCATTCTTATAAACAGAATTCAGAGTTCCAACCATCTCCTGGTTCTAGAGCCTTGATCCCCAAATAAAATATTCTCTTTATAATT